TTCATCCTTTATATCTCTTTACTTGCAAAACGATTTCGGCATACAATTACTGACTTTGTAGCTGGCGTTCATTTGTGCTTTTCAAAGCAGAATAATACAAGAAATGGCCGGATGAGAACCCTGGACACCATCACTTTCCTTCAAGTGTGCATCGAAATGATATCTTGCAGTGATGCTGACGATGGAATAAATGAAAAAATTGCACTGGGCAAAACATTTTCCAAAAATGTGGAATTTTCTTTTCTATTTTCAAAAAAATGTGCAAAGACAAAGTAGTTCTCAGCTCTCTGGAAGTGAAGTTCTATTAAAATTTGGACAGAGATTAATGTGATGGAGTGGCAATGCACTGAAGATGCAGTAGCTTAACAATGCAGTACAGTTCGTCAAAGGATTTCGTTTTCGTGCGGCATACAAAGTAAATGTTTCGATTAAGGTGAAAAGACAAACGGAATCACGCCAGTCGAATCACACTAATTAGGCAGTCTTCCTCTTTTACACTTGGAAGGAAGAACCCCGAATAAAGGAATGAAGGCCTGGAAGTGATCACTTCAGCAGATACGTCGTCCAGCAAATGGCTATTCAAATCCATCGGAATACTTGGAAGCAACAGTGGTGATGTTATTCAAAAATTTTCAAGGAGGTCTTTGTCACATTCCTCATCCTTAATGACCAGTCAGTTATTAAGAAACTAGCATTTTTTCTTGTGGTTTAAATATTATGTTCTATTCACTTACTTTGAAGTTCTTTTAAATTTCGGCGATCTGGATTGCCTTCATTAATCATTTTGATGAAAAAATAATAAACAAACCATTTGTGACGCTTTATCTGTTTTTGTGTCCCTCATTGTGTGAGGCAGCCCAATTCTGGGGAACGGGTGTACTTCCTCTTCGTTCTGCGCGACATTGTGTTCGGGCTAGGCTATTAGGATTCCACCCCACCCATATGGTACTAGGTAGAAATTCCTCCCCATACCACCACCTTGTGTGGGCACGGCCTTGCATGGTGAGGCTCCACAATACACAGAATCTGTGGTGGCCGCGGTCAACCAACTTAATCTCCTGTCAGTTGTTTACAATCCAACTATTCATCATCACCATGGAATTCATTATTTTTGCGTGCATTAGTAACCTATCCACTACGATTAACAAGGCTGCGGCTGGCAATTTAATCCCTGGGGAGAAGAGAGTGCTTCAGCTGTGCACTGCACCACAAAGTCTTCGATCCATGCTTGTGGTCTTATAGTTCATCTATCCACATGTACGTATATGCTCTTACACCACCACTTTAAGCATTTACGATTTTAGGTAAAGTGTTAGGTGAGGCGACACTTTCCCCTTGGCAAGGACAATCAAAACCAACCGACTAAGACCAAAGCCCCTATCATCCGGTGTGAGATAGGGACGCGCGAGAAGAGGAGCGAGTTACTCTCGTCAGCCCGCCTGCACGCTGGTAAGCAGCAGGCTCTACCACCACTACTACCTCGGGTGGTTAAGGCTTCGGGCGAAGGCGCGGTAAGTCGATGCAACACTCTCCGTAGGAGGCGGTCAAGACCATCCGATCGAGGTGTTCATTTAGCCAGTGTTTGCATTCATTTGTATCAGGCTTAGTGTATCTACGAGGCTAACGATACTAGACGCAGTAATAAAGTTGGAGAGGAGGCGAGAAAGCATGGCCGAGGGGGGAAAATGGATATCACTCACTCTGATTTATGATAGCATTACACAAAATAATGACCGAGAGAGAACTACGAGGGAGGACATGCAGGCGGTGAGGTAGAGGAAGGCGTTGGACATGGCTGCAGGCACCATGCAAACCAGGATGCTGACGGCAAGTCAATCCTGCGAAGTTACCTAGCCCTAGACACTCTCTCTCGTCGGTTTGATAAGTCCAATGTCGCAAAAATGCAAGAGGCATCGCTTAGAAGAATGCCTTTGATCAGAGACCTGTGAAGGTTGGGAATGAAGCAGTATCCTCCTCCTGCTCTGTTTTTCCTTGTCTAAGTAGGAAGGCTCGAGCCTATTTTAAGGGTGTTGCATGGACCCACCGTGAGGAAACATCCTTCGTAAATGTAGAAAAGTGGAAGCACCCATCAGATTGAGCCGAGAATCCATTCATCGCTACAGACTTCATGTGTAGCACTAACTGCAGCATTTGCTATGCTGTCGACGCTTAGATAATGGCATTGTACTATTCACCAAGTGGAATTCTCCTGCTGCTAGAAGAGGAACAATATGACAGCTATCTTTCAGGCTAATGCTGACCTGTTGGTGGTGTGAGATCACCCAAAATGAGGGGTGAAACAGTGAAGGACGCAGTGACAATCCCAAAAATCCATTTTTATCCCCCTAATTTATCAGTTTCATGTCATTCGCTTAGATGCTATGAATTAGTTGATTCATCTTTGACCTGGTGTTAAATGTTGCTGACAGTTTCACTTGACATGTCATTCCTTACTTACTTCAAGTAAATAACAAAATTCACATCTTTGTGAATGGAGTAAATAGAGCGGCAAACCTCCTTGATGTCACATAGATGTGAAGACTGCTGTTAAGATACTTCTGGACCTGGCGTGATTTAGCTTGATGTGAAGTGCGATTCGACTCACACCACACCCTCTTCAAATGCTGTATAGCTAGGATGAGATACCTGTGCATTGCTGCGGAGATGGAGATCAAAGTCATTCGCAAAGTAACCAGGCTTCAATAGAATCGTCGGCATCCTTTTTCTTAGGATGAGCCCTTTAGTAGTGCGCCTTATTAAATAGTAGCTGCCAGCTTCAACGAAACGATCAGAAGCAAACAGGTGGATTGAGCTGCATTGTCATCTTTGACAAGTAGGGGGTAAAGTCACTTTAAGCACACCACCAACGGAGACAATAGGGCTGGTTTAAAATTTTGCATGTTGAGTGACAATACTGGGATTGATGACCTATGGGACCAAAGCAAATTTGACTCTACTTCACTCCGCTCCTTTCCTGTCCAACCCACTTTACTTGACTTCAATCGAATTTTCACCTTTTGCCCTCTCTACCAAGTATGTTGACAGCAGTCCATTGAGCACCATCATTCTTCCAGTTATTCTCCATTTTATGGTTCCACTCTAAGATGCTTTTGTTCTTACTTAAGAACTAATCACTCACCCAGGCCCCTAGAAAATATTACAATCC